GCCAATATTTGTGTGTGTGTGTGTGTGTGTGTGTGTGTGTGTGTGTGTGTGAATAGCTGTACAGTCTACTATCTCTGATGAACCTGTAACCGGTTTTTAAGGAAGAAAATCACACCTGAAGTCAGAATGTAACTAAAGCCCAGCGCTGATACTGTAGCATCCCTAAATAAATGAACAACTATTACACACAGCAACCTTAAAGTAAATGTGGCTTTACTATCTGCTGATCCTGTTACGTGTCTTTAGGACGTCAGTAGACTTATAGTCTGTTCAGTGGGTAGAAGTGTTGTGAAACTTGGTGTCAGTCATTCTGGCTAGTGATTAGTTATTTAAAAACCACTCCAGTAGCGTTTGTTTGTGTCTATGAGAGCTGGGACTCACTTTAGCGTCTGCGGTCGCGTCTTCTTGCCGCGTGTGTTGTCTCCCAGAGCGCTATCAATGTCAGCGTGCACCATCTCGGCCTAAAACACAACCACACACACGGATCCAGTGAAAGCAGCTCTCGATAGTGTTTATCATCATACTGCAGGGGTGTAAAGGTCCGTTTTTATTAATCGTTCAGGCATGGGAGATTATAGAGATGAAATTGACAGGTTTGATGATTGTGTCTGTATGTGCGCGAGTGTTTGTTTTGGTGTTGCTTATGGATACAACATTTCTCATAATGTCTGAAGAATAACAGCACCTGATTAAACCTAAAATGCATCAAATGTCATGCATTTCAAGTACCATGATACTTTTCTTATGTCTACAAGTTTGTGTGTGTGAGTCTCACCTCCACTTCGTCGCAGTAGAAGAAGTGAATGTCTGGTTTGTGTTGTTCATTGTCCTGACAGATGAGCAGAAGGACGGACGGATATCTGGTCTGGTTCAACAACGTCTGACAATGATGGACAGTGGCCAGAGGAAAGTTTTCAAGCTCTTCCTGAGTGAAAGAAAGGAGAATTAGACCTTTAAAATGAACTTATATCACCTAACCCTAAAATGCTTGTTAAAAAAATTTATTTAAAAAAATATAAAGATAAAATGCAAATCAAGAAAATGTATATTATATATTAAATGCAAAATAAAATATAAAAGATAATTAAAATATATAAACACAAAGTACAAAAACAAACCTGATTCTCAAAAAATAAATGAATTTACTTGTTAATGTCTCTCAGAAATTTTTATTTTATTTTATTTTATTTTTTATTTTATATTATATATTTTGTTTAATTTAATTTAATTTAATTTTTTTTATTTTTTTTTATTTTAATTAAACTGTCAATTAAATAAATTAAAATTAAATAATTTCTGTAAGTACTTTATGCAAACACAAAAGACACTTACGAACTTCGATCCTGAAAAAAAAGATTGCAATCATTAATGAGGTCAAAGATCTAGTAATGTTGGCATTTATGGTCACATATTACCAGAATAATGATGGCACAATCACAATCGATTCACACGGACGAAATGCTCCCTATCCAGTTATTCCAGATCAGATTACACTAGGCCATAGAGTTAGAAGAGGCTTTGTTTGATGAACAGGTGTGGAACATCCTACTGTCTTCAATCGGTTCTCATTTTTATGATCTCAAGTGTGCTTTAATTTTTACTGAACATTTAAGATGCAAATTGGTTTTGAACTGGTAAAAACGTGCAAACCCAGTATCATACAGGATTTTCTATAGGACAAAATAGCAGAATTGACTGAAAGGCATGGCCTAGGTCAGTGCAAAGGACAGTACATTATGATGAAAGAATACAAAGACAAAAAATATTTCACTGCAATGCAACAATGAATCATTCAAAATAAGACAACGAACATGGATTAAGAAAGTAAATAGTGTGAATTTTATATTGACTTTACAAAAGTCAATTAATTTGTCTATGTGCGCACACAAGGAAAGATCCCGCTCACCTTGGTCACGCAGTCCAGGAGTTTGATGGATTTGTCCGTCACCTGCAGCAGCATTTCCTGTGTCCAGATTTTGTCTTTGGAGTCCAGCAGCTTCAGCTTCTTGATCGCGTCATCTACTGTAGCAATGGACTCTGATTTATCCATGACGAATGTAGAGAGATGCTGCAAACACACAGATGAGTGTGGAAGATCATTGCAAGAGTGATGCAATGCAAACAAATACAATTCGGTTTTCACATTTCACATCTTTAAGATGGACTGTGGCACTGTCATTTGCATGTGTATTAAATAAGATATATTAGGGCTATAGTGATGATTTCAGAGAAAATGCAAAACAATTTGACTTGCTCATTTATTCAATATTCTCTACACAGTAAATGTCACATAATTCACTTCATGTGGAAAGAGAAAGCAAAAATTAGTGCATTTAAACAGTTCCAGATAATACGGCACACTTTTAAATATATTTTGCATCCCAAATGACTATTTAGACTCCAGAAATCTGATTTTAATCATGGTTTGGATTGAGTTTGTAAACACTGGATTTCATGTGGGGGTTTTTTTCCTGAGCCGACTACAAAAACTAAACAGATTTGAGTTTCTCTCCATTTTATTCCATTGCATTCTAGGAGAAAAGGCTGCGGTATTAAAGAGATCTTATTAGTGATTTTTCAGTAGTAGATAATTAGGTGAATGTCCCAATGGTCTAAAATAAACCTACATAGGTTCTCTTTCTGAATGTCATTGGGTGTTGCTCTTAAAGGAATTAATTGTCATTTCGACTGAGTGAGTAATGTTAGCACACGCCTCCTTATAATATTTTTATATGTACTTCAGCACTTTAACCACACCCGTGTGTGTGTGTGTGTCGGTGGGTGTGCATTTACGTGTCACAATACTATGTGACAAACAGTGATCCCATCAAAGAGAGCAAATTATTCAAAGCATTATGCATGGTTCATAAGCAGATTAAGTATTGTCACTAGTTATATAAGGGAAGGAGATCTCAGCATGGCTGCCGTGGATTAACCAGACAATCCAACACAAACACGTTTGACACGTCTTGATCAGACTCTACCCGGAAAGTGGAAAGACTTCAACAGGATGTAGTCCAACCAACTTTCAACTGCACAAAAAGAATGTTTAACTTTGAGATGGTTGTCAAGATGTTTGCACATATACAGCCGTTTACGAGAGAGTACACCAGGTCAGTGGTTTCCATGAAGTTGTTTAGGTAAACTCAACAAGAGCTGCTGTCAGTCAGTGAGTTGTTTCATTATCGTTAAAGGAATAGTTCACCCAAAAATAAAACTTCTGTCATCTGTCTGTCAATTCTGTCATAGTGTTTTATTTTTATAACATCATTTACTCACTCAAAAGTTGTTTTAAACCTGAAGGAATTTATTTCTTCTGCTGAACATAAATTCTATTTTGAAGAACGTGGAAAACCAAACAGTTGCAGGTCCACAGTGACTTTCATAGTATTTTTTCCTACTATCAAATTCAATGTGGACCAGCAACTGTTTGGTTACCCACATTCTTCAAAATATCTTCTTTTGTGTTCAGCATAAGAAAGAAATTAATACAGGTTTAGGACAACATGTGAGTGAGTATATAATGACAGAAATTACATTTTAGAGTGAACTATCCCTTTAATGATAGTCGGCTGCATGTTTAGTACTGTCTATATACAGGCACGTATCCGTTTTTCTCTCAACTGTTTACTTTCATTGTAGACATAACCAACTTAGTCTATATGTAAACCTTGTGTGTTTTGACAGTATTAGCGCAAAAGATAACTTAGTTCAGTAATCAGGCCCTGTTTGACAGGCTTTTTAGTGCGCACGCTTCAGGTGCACGCGGCACTCAGAGAAAGTGCATGTCAGACCAGCGCAAGAGGGTCTAGCTGCAGCCTTGCACTTGCACTCTCAGACGTGCATTCTCAGGCTTGCACTCTCAGACACTTGCGCTTCAGCTAGCGAAGTCACTTGCAGTCTTTTATTTTTTTTATTTTGTTCTATTTTTTGATCTTTTAATTGAACTTAATGTATCTTAATACATTACGCCATGTTAAGTGTTTATGTTTTTCTACGGGAGGAAAACACTTAAAACACTTGCACGCTGGTCGAGAAGGGTCTGAGAATGCAAGTGCGAGGCTGCAACCAGACCCTTCTCGACCAGCGTGCAAATAAAACATTTAACCGGCAAGGCTTTATACACAGCAAAAGATTTTGCTGTGTAGCAAATGAGTAAACAATGTACTTTTGTTACTGCGAATAAGTACAGTGCCCTGTGAGAGTAAAGGCCCGTTCACACCAAGGACGATAACTATAAATATAACGATAAAGATATAGTTCTAAAAATCATTCTAGAGTGCAAACCAGTGAAGTAAACAACAGTGCAGATATAATGTAGTAGAACTATAAAGATGTAGTTCTAAAAATCGTTCTCAATATTAAAGAATAGCACCACACCACAACTATAACGATAAAGGCAAGAAACGATATTATTGGAATCACTTTCAGAACGATTTTTTTTCCAGCTGATGAATGATAAAAACATTGACAGTCAATCAGAATCCATCCTGCTGTAACAAGCTGGAGAATTTAAAGCGTCAGACGCGTGTGCTCTTAGAATAAACAGATGATATCGTTCGCTGGTGTGGACGCTAATATCGTTATCTTTATAGTTATCGCTCTTGGTGTGAACGGGCCTTAACACTACCGCTGAGTTAACACTGATGTGAATGCATGTGGCGTACAGTATATTGAGATGGAGGCACCAGAACTGCAACTGATAGAATATGCACTGTAGCACGATACTACGATATTTCTTAAAAAGCAGATCGTGGAGACATTTTTATCATCCACGATCAAAAATCATCATATCGCACACCCCTATTCTTCAGTGGGTTTTAGGTTTAGCAGGGAAATTTATTTTTTATTAAGAACCACCCAAACACCCAAAAAAGCACTCACGCACCCTAAAAACCAACTGGGAATGCCCTAAAACCACCTAAACCCCATAGCAACCATGTAATATTTCCCTAAAACCCCTCAAACACCCTAGCAACCACCTAGAATTGTCCTAAAACCACTCAAACACCAGTAATTAATTAAGTAATGATTGAACATTAGTAAAGAAAACCCACTGTTAACAATGTTGAAGATGAACAACTACTGCTCAGGCTTTTAGACATGACAACTTACCACATAATCCTCAACAGTGGTAACTCTGCTTCAGTGTTTTAACACTCTGTAGATTGGGACAATATGTACTCTGAGTAGAGTTGATTTAACTCGGGGGATTTTGCTGTGTAGAAACCACATAGGAATGCCCTAAAATCACCCAAACACCCTAGCAACCATCTACAATAGTCCAAAAACCACTTAAACACCATAGAAAACACCTAGAATTGCCCTAAAACTCATCAAACACCCTAGCAACCACTTAGAATTGCCCTCAAACCACTCAAACACCATAGAAACCACATAGGAATGCCCTAAAACCACTCAAACACCCCATCAACCACCTAGAATTGTCCTAAAACCACTTAAACACCACAGAAACCACATAGGAATGTCCTAAGGCCACTCAAACACCCCAGCAACCACCTAGAATTGTCCTAAAACCACTTAAACACCACAGAAACCACATAGGAATGTCCTAAGGCCACTCAAACACCCCAGCAACCACCTAGAATTGTCCTAAAACCACTTAAACACCACAGAAACCACCTAGGAATGTCCTAAAACCACTCAAATACCCTAGAAACCACCTAGAATTGTCATAAAACCATTTAAACACCATAGAAACCACCTAGAATTTCCCTAAAACTCCTCAAAAACCCTAACAACCCCATAGAATTGCCCTAAAACCACTCGTGTACCCTAGTAACCACTTAGATTTGCCATTAAACCAATCAAACACCATAGAAACCACTTAGAATTGCCCTAAAACTCCTCAAACACCCTAGCAACCCCATAGAATTGCCCTAAAACCACTCGTGTACCCTAGTAACCACTTAGATTTGCCATTAAACCAATCAAACACCATAGAAACCACTTAGAATTGCCCTAAAACTCCTCAAACACCCTAGCAACCCCATAGAATTGCCCTAAAACCACTCGTGTACCCTAGTAACCACTTAGATTTGCCATTAAACCACTCAAACACCATAAAAACCACCTAGGAATGCCCTAAAACCACCCAAACACCCTAGCAACCCCATGGATTTGCCCTAAAACCACTCAAACACCCTAGCAACCACTTAGAATTGCCCAAAAACCACTTAAAAATCCTAGCAACCACTTAGATTTGCCCTAAAACCCCTCCAACACCCTAGCAACGGCCTTAAGCCACTCAAATACCCTAGCAACAACCTAGAATTGCCCTTAAACCACCCAAACCCCTTAACAACCACCTATAATTATCTTAAAACCAGTTAAACCCCCTACCAACCACTCAAACACCTTAGCAACCACCTAGAATTCATAAAACCACCCAAACCACCTAGCAATGCCCTTAAAACACTCTATCCTAGCAACCACATATAATTGCCATTGAACTACCTAAACACTCTAGCAACCACCCAGCAGTGCACTAAAACCCACAAAACACCCTAGCAACCACCTAGAATTATCTTAAAACCACTTACACACCATAGCAACCACCTACTGTAGAATTGTCCTATAACCACTTAAACCCCCTAGCAACCACCCAAACACCCTAGCAACCCCCTAGAATTGTCTTATAACCACTTAAATCCCCTAGCAACAACTCAAACACCCTAGCAACCACCTAGAATTGCCGTTAAACTACCTAAACACCCTAGCAACCACCTAGAATTGTCTTACAACCACTTAAACACCATAGCAACCACCTACTGTAGAATTGTCCTAAAACTACTTAAACAACCTAGCAACCACTCAAACACCAGAGCAACCACCTAGAATTGTCTTATAACCACTTAAACCCTCTAGCAACAACTCAAACAGCCTAGCAACCACCTAGAATTGCCGTTAAACTACCTAAACACCCTAGCAACCACCTAGAATAGTCTTAAAACCAATTAAACACCATAGCAACCACCTACACCTACCCTAAAAGCAACCCAGCAAACCTCTGAATCTTGGGAGTGAGTTCAACACAGACATTTTCTACAGAAAATGTAAAAATCGAATCATGAACACCACTTTCAAAACCTTCTACAGATATTTTTGCTCCATCGACCAGTTCTCGGAATAATATTCACATTAATTATGTAACCAAAAATAGAATTAATTTGAAAAAGTCAATGATCTGGGCAATAAAAAAAGAAATACTCTCAATCTGTTTTTTAAAAAATTCTTACGTGCCTAAACTCAGATTACTTTGGCATGATGCTTCTGATATCACAAGAGTGTAGAAGCATTCAAGACCCGATATGACTTTGGCTGGCGTGGGCGTTTATCAACTTTATGCATGTTTGAGAGCGAGAAAAAGAGATAAGAGGCATAATATAGTCTTTACAACAAGTGAAGGGTGAAAGTGAGGAAAAACAAACCAAGGAAAATAATGTGTACAGATCAGAACAAAGTTCAACAGAACGTCTCGAGTCAGTCCTGGATCAAGTTACCGTTTGATTAGTGCAACAATGACGTACTTGTGCATGGCTAATTCGCCTGTTCTGCTGGGGTTCTTTCAGGTTGCGTTGCATAATATGCACCACACTGCATTTCGGCCAATCGAATTCAAGGACTGGAACTAGCTGTTTGTATAAAGTGGATTTCAGACCGCAGATTGCGTTATCTGTTTAGATGGAGGTTAACTCTGCCCTGACAAATCTCTGCGGTGATCAAGTGACCTGACTGCTTTATTACGATATCAAGTCATCAGTTGAATCACGTTAAATATTAAACCAATCTCTCAGTGGCGAGGTTCAGCTAATCAACAAGCTTAGAAGGAAGAAACAGAATTAAAAGAATCAATAGTTTAGAATCTCGCTCACCTGCACATGGTATTGCGACGTCTCTTGCATGATGACGTTCGAGTTTGAGTACTTCTTTCGTTGCTCTGAAAGAAACAGAGACACAAACATAGACATATGAGACAATATTCAAAGACTTGCAAGAGGAAAGACGCTATCTGTGTTTCGACTGTTTCCTCATATGTAAAGTCATTTTTTTAGAGATATTTAAGCAACGGATATAAATACTCAAGTTTAATGTTCACACAAAACTCAAACTAACCTGGATAGTGCCACATTTTGGACCGTCTAGATCACTTAAACGAGACGTTTCATGTACATGAACAGAAAAACTGATAAAACACCAGTCAGCATCTGCATTACGAACATGAAACACCAAGACGCAACAATACAGTTAGCAATACAATGAGTCAAAATGAGATAATTATTAAAAAACCTTTTCCTAAAAATTCTCACTCCTACCTTTCAAAGCAATGAATTTAAATTCAACTTCCTGTCTACAAATCTGCGTTAAACATCTCCATGGTTTGACAAATTTGTAGGCTTCCAGCAGTAATGCTCCGAACTGACGGACTTACATACAGGAAATGTTCTGACAGGCTGGGAATCGTGTTTCACCTGCCTCTTTTATTCGAGGTCAAAGGTCAAACCGTGTAACACCTCCCTCCATCTATGGCTTCAATATATCGCTGTTTGTTTTACAGCAGTCCTATAAATCAGCTCAGCACTGCGTGTTTTACAAAACACTCGACTTCACGTTTGCTTTAGCTTGTTCAACTAGATCCTACATTTTAGTTGCTCTTTTAGGTTCAGGAGAGTTTTGATTGCAAACTTTGGCGAATCTGAGCAAGTTTGAGCCGTTCTTGAGCTCTCGTCTGACCTCTAAAGTCTTTTCACGAGGAAAAACATCAGACGTCTCTCTTAGGCAAACACTTGACGACTGCAGTATATGGCTCTGTTAAGGTTTAAAAGGCTTTTAATGGATGTATTAAGTTTAGTTCAAGGTTAAAGAGCAGAATCAAAGCAGATTCTCTCTTGAAAACATGTTTTAGCGTCAAACTATGTTTACGATGTTCTTTTGCGGTCTAGTTATGACTCGCTGTAAGAATGCTGACAGCAAAGTTAGGTTTAAAATAGTTACATATGGACGGGTGGCATGTTGTCATGGTGACAATGTTTTTGAGGGTTGTCATAATGGCTTTGTCAATCAAATGTGATTCTGGAAATATGAATGAATCACAGCAGCTGATGACTAACTGTATATGGAAAATAGTGTGGAATGGATATGAAGTGGCAACAGAGGGAAAGAAGATGCTTGTGTACAGTATTACAGTATTACTATTACTGACACGCACAAACACGTGTGTGTGTGTGTGTGTGTGTGTGTGTGTGTGTGTGTGTGTGTGTGTGTGTGTGTGTGTGTATATAT